CCCTGAGCCAGTGGCTCACCCAGGTGTGCAAGGCTGGTTCGACATTCGGAAACCAGTTCCTGTGCCATCTCAACAGCCCAGGAAGACAGAGCACATGGCGGTATCCACAGAGCAGAAGAAGCATCTGTCAGAATCCAACACATTCACGTGAAAACAGCAAGCTGGAACCAGGAGGGACTCCCTGGACCGGAGGAAGAGCATCTAGGAGAAGCCCAGGCTGACACCAGATGACAAGGAACCCGGGCTCCCACAGAGGCCAGGGCCAGGCCAGGTTCCCCCTGCTCATCCCCACACTGTGCCCTCACCGCCACGGCAGGGCAGGAAAGGGAAATGAGAAACAGAAGTCGAATTTCATTAAAATTGAAACCCTTCTCTGTGCAGGATGAAATGACAAGCTACAGACAAAACCCTCACAAAACTCTTACCTGATAAAACTATTATCCAAAAAATGCAAAGAACTCTTAACAGTAAGAAAACAATGCAGTTAAAAAGAAAGTGGCAAAGACCTGAAGAGACCCCTCACCACGGAAACTCCGTGGGTGGAAAACAAGCATGTGTCCCACGCGCCACGGGGAGCGCAGGCGGATGGATCAGTGTGGTGCCAGGGTCGTGTATGGGAAGGGCTAGTGCCAAACAACCCGCTGGCCAGGCCGGGGGCCGCCTGAGCCCTCACGCACGGCCGGGAGTGTGGAGGGACAGGGCCTTCGGGAGTGGGCTGGCTGCTGACAGGCAGAGGCAAGGCGTCGAAGTCATGATCCACAGATGGTGGGCCTAGCTTTGACTCCTACAGAACTCCTGCAGCAGACCTCAGCTACTGGGAGTCGGCCTGGGTGGTCTTACCCACGGAGGCAGCAGTTCATGATCACTTGGTCCAAAGATGCACTCCATCTATGGGCCCTCCCAGCATCAGGCCCGCACACCCTGCCCGGGCTTTGAAACTGAGCAGCTCTCACACTCACACACCAGTGCCCAGAACCCTCTAGTCACACTGACCCCTGGATCCAGTAGTGGTGCTCCTTGGGATCCCCCAGATGGGCTGTAAATGGGTGCACACAGGTGTTCGTGGCGGCTTTCTTCATAACTGACCGAGTTCCGAGGGGAACGAAGTGGGCGAAGCCGGTGAATGAGTGGCACGTGTCATGCTAGAAAGGAAGGAGCTGCAGAGCTGGTCTCCAAGGACAGGAGCCACTCTGAGAAGGCCTCTCCTCTGATTCCAACCTCTTGACAGTCTGCCAAAGGCCAAACCAGGAGCCCGTGAAAATCCCCGTGGTCAGAAGGCATGTGGGCAGCGGGAGGGAGGACTCACAGGTGCAGCATGAGGGACTTCGGGCAGTGATGCTATATGATGGGTACGTGGTCACTGGCATCTATCAAACCTATACTGTGTACAGCTCAGAAAATGACCCACCCACGTGCAAATGCAAACCTTGGTCAATGATATAGCCTCTGTGGGGCCACCGACTGTGAGTGGCACCACCCCAATGCAGGAGGTTGACCACTCGGACACTGGGCCAAAGGGTCTTGAGAACACTGTACTTTCTGCTCAATGTATCTTATAAATTCAAACTGCTCAAAAAAGAAAAAAGAAAAAAACTACTACTTAAAAGAGGCAGCAAAACAGGAGGCAGAGCTTGGGAAACATCACATGCACAGTTAGAAGCTGTCATCTTGCTGGTTTACTGAGACTTTAAATGGGCGCCTTTCAAAGTCAGAGCATCAACACAGGCTCAGGAGGCTGGGGCAGGAGGATCGTGAGTTCAAAGCCAGCCTCAGCAAAAGTGAGGCACTCAGCAACTCAGTGAGACCCTGACTCTACAAAATAGGGCTGGGGATGTGGCTCGGGGGTCCAGTGCCCCTGAGTTCAATCCTCAGTCAAAGTTCCGGCCCCTCGTCACTGGTTGTTTCCACCTCGTGAGCCTTAGGTTGGCATCACTCACTGGGCTCTGAGACGCTGACCTGCTCCTTAGTCGGTGAGGAGCACTGCACAGATGAGGGGGGGAGGAAGGCTGCAGAGCCTGGCTGTCCGGCAGGGTAGCCACCTGAGGTGGTAGGGGACTCCTCCTGGGTTCTACCCTAGTTTTAAATTGACTAAATGGATCTTGCCTGAACAATTACAGTCCAGTGCAGATGGAGATCCACTTCCAAATCATCCCATTACACTGCTACGGTCTTTAACAACTCAGAGTATGAGAAATCCGATCCCACACCAAGGACACACTCTGTGTGGCCAGGATCCGGGAGAGATGCGCACCCCGGTCAGCACGCACACTCCTCTGCAGCACGGACCCCCACATCCTCCTGATGTCAGCCCGGCTCCTGCTCCCCCTCATTTCCCAGCCTCTGCTTGGACAGATACTCCCAGCAGGAAAGAGCCTTGAAGGAGGCTGCGCAGCCAGTGAGCCTCTCCCTCTGGGTCCCCTGGGCTCCCACCGTGCCCCTGTCACCAGCCCCACTCATCCCACACAGGTCCCTGGCGATGGGGCTGTTGGAGGGCACGTGGCCCAGGCATCATCCTCCGCTCCCTCGCTTGCCTTCCTGGCCATAGTCAGTCCTGTGGTCCAGGCTCCTCTCCCTGGGCCGGACACCAGCTTTCAAGGTTCGTCCAGATCGCCGCCAATGCACTGCTGAAACCCCAGCACCCGATGGCTGCTCCCAGAGAAGACATCTCAGTGCCCCCCCCCCCCCCCCCCCGGGCTCACAGGACCCATCCTGACCTGAGCCCACCTCCCGCCCAGGCCACTCTCCTCCCCACGGTCTCCTGGGCGCCTGGCATCCGGCTGTGGTGCACTCCTGCAGTCCCCAAGTGCTTCATCCTGTCTTGGGCCCTGCCCTGCAACTTGCAGTTCTTCCAAGGGAAAGGCCCTTGCCCTGCCTCCCCAGGGACTCAGCCGGCTGCAGTCCCTCCAGCTCCCTGGCTGCCTGCTCTGAGGGTCTCTGTCCTTCCCAAGGCCAGCCCACACCGGCTTCTAACCTCTCCTACATGGCAACCTGGAAACTACTAAAAACTCACACTGAGCAGACCTTTGTTAACTGGCTTATGATCCAGTCGAGAACCTTTTAAGGGCAAGATTATTTAATACCTCTTTGTATCTCTGACTCCAACAGAGTCAGAGTATTGCTGAATTCATGCGATATTCTCATTGTACCCTTTGGAACAAAGATGGGATGGACATAGACCCATGCCTTCTGTGTATCTATTGTGGATTCAATCAATATTTGTTTGACAAGGTTTGTGTATTGGGCACTATGCTCAAGATATTGTAGTTGCTTTGTTTTGTTTTTGTTTTTTAAATCATGAACCCACTTGGTATGGCAGTGCATGCTTGTGATCCCAGCAACTTGGAAGGCTGAGACAGGAGGATCTCAAGTTCAAGGCCAGCCTGGGCAACTTAGACCCTATATCAAAATTAAAATGAAAAGGACTGAGATGTAAGGACTGGTTAAGCATTTCTGGGTTCAATCCCCAGTACCCGGTAGAAGATGGACACTGTAGTGGAGCATGCAGACGTCCTTTACTCCACTTACGGGCTCCGGAGTGAGCCCTCATTGTCTGTTCACGCTGGTGGAGGTGGGAGGCTTAGGGGGCTGCAGACAAAGATTTGTTGCTCTCAGCCCAGGAAACAGAACTCATCAGCAGGTCACATGGTCCCCTTTGCCCCCCAGAGCCAGGGCAGGGATGTAGCCAAGACACCACAGGACACGTGCTAGGCACGAGTCACAGCCAAGGGACACTGAGCCTGGGGACCCACTGTTCTACAGTGAGGAGTTCTGCACCTTGTCTAGAGGGAGCGTGGCCTGGTCCCTCAAGGCCGCCTCACTCTATGCACAACCTGGGGTATGATCCCGGGAAGAGCAGGCTGACACTGCATTCTTGGTACACCTGAGACAGGGAGGAAAACGGACTGCAGCCCCTAACCTTCATTCTGAACAGAGACAGGCAGTGCCCTGACCCACTGAGAGGGACCGCAGGCTGGTGACATTTCCTTACCCTCTATGCGGCCTTGTCCTGGCTCAAACCACTCCACCCCTGAGGCAAACCACCCTGCCCCTCTGCAGGCTTGAAGCAGCAGCTGCAGGCTGGTCAGGGCCACAGAGCAGGAGGGCAAGACCTCTGCCTAAGCCAGCTGGTCAGACCCTGAGCGCCCCACCCGGGAGAAAAGGGCACCTCACCCAGCAAGCTGTTTTCAGGCAAGGCCCCTCGTTAGCACCTAGCACCAGCTCCCAAGGAGTCTTGAGGCTTCTCTCCAGCTTCCTCGGGGGACTGCCTGTGCTCACTAAGGACTGTTAACCTGGACTTTTGCAAAAATAAATAAATAAAACAATAAATAGATCATAAAGGCTTAACTATAATAACAGCTTATTTTAACTGTATCAGAGAAGAACCAGATTTCATAGGCTATTCCAATAAGCCCACATTCTGGAGGCTTCTGCATCCCTCATCCACCTAGCCTAATCCAATCTAGCCATGGCCCTGAGAGATATCCTCCTGCCATCTCTCTCTGAAGCATGACTAATTGAAGCTTCCAGAGGTGAGATAGGGGTTGGCTTTTTGCATTTAATTCCCTACACATACTTAACTCTAAAGGGCTAGGCTGCCTCCCGGTGATAACTGTGAAAAAGTCGGTGATAACTGTGAAAAAGTCGTACAGGGATTCTTCATTTGAATTAAGTAGTGGCACCTGCAGATCTGTGTGTGGATCTGTGCTAACAGACTGCAGAAACAAGCTTGCTTCCGAAGTTGAGTGTAGCTGATCATAGCTGCAGAAAGGCATTTTCCGCCTCAGGCAGAAGAAAGTGGGGCTCCTGGATGAGCACCCCTGACAGCTCTGCAGCCTGAGTTCCTCGGCAGAGGGCGCTGTGCTGACCCACCTCTCTGCTCCCAGGAAGCCAGAGCTGTGAAGTGCTGTGACTCAGCACCAGCTCCCAGGATAACAATCACAATAACAAGCCATTATCTTTTTCATGCTTTGATCTTGTTCAAGAATGTTGACTAAACAGAGACTGGCAGAACAACATGCTGTTTCTGGATGTGAGCATTTTGATACAAGCCACCAGTTCAGCTGTCCTGTGGAATGTGAGGAGTCTCTTGTTTCCTGTAATGAGCATTCTCCTCTGAACTGCGGGGCTTTGACGGGAAAGCAAACTCCAGGGGGATTAATGGGAGCCAGCCTGGTGCTCAGAGGAGGAAATGACTGAACCCCGAGCGAGCGTCGTCCTCCCAGGGGGAGCACCCTGTGCCGGGACATCTGCTCCCTGTGGTTCTGGGCTTCTGCCACCACCCATCAAGAAGTTCCTCCCGCAGGGCCATGTGGTGAGTGTGGGGACCAGAGGGGACCAGTGGCCTGCTGCCAGGGCCTGGCAGGGTGTCCACAACAACTCCAGTGCTCTGCCCCACACAGGCCTAGTTTTGGAGCTCAGTGGTCAGGTAATTGGATTATTTGAGCCATTTGCATATTGACAGACAAAGGCACAGAGGAGGGAGGAGACACATCGTCTAGATCAGAAAACGTGGGAAGGGCACTGCTTTCCCTTCGACTCTAGCCAATGCTTGGCCTCAAGGTCAGAGTAGGCAAGAACGTTCCCAGCTTTTGACTGGTTTAATTGGGGCGGGACTCAATGGTGTGGGGCTAAAATAAATCTGGCTCAGAGCACATCCTGCCCCTCCCTCAAGGCAGCTGGCTCCTCCTGAAGCTCCCACACCCCCTACAAAACCTCTTTCCGTGGAAAGCAGGCCTGCTGACTCTCCACCCCACTCTCCACCCGGGACCCGGACCCCCTGTCCCCAGGCAGGGCTGATGTCTCGGTGACTTGTCTGTTTCCACAGTTGGAGAACATTAAGGTCTGGGCTTACAGTGCTCTATCCAGTTGAGCTAAGCAATTCAGAGTGGCCTCTAATTTATGATCCTAAGCACCCAACACATTCACTACCCGATTTAGTAGCAGGTTTAAAACAAAACAAAACAAAAACAGCCCCTACCCAGTTTCCCCCAGCTGGGCTCCCATGTTGGCTCCACCCACGCGCCTGCCAGGAGGGTAGCTGGAGTAGCACAGCCAGGCCCTTGATCCTCACTGTGATTTTTCATATGTAATAATTAACATCCAATTGAAAATTATCTGGAAAAAAAATTTTTAAAAGGAAAAATTTACCAAATCCAAGAGAAAAACACCTGCATTAGAAAAAGACCGGGTGGGCCCTAGTTCCCCCAGGCTGCCCCTGCCCACCTGGCCCAGGTGCCCTCTGCCCTGCCTCACCACTGGTTTTCTCTGGATGTCCCAGCTGTATGATCTTCTCATCCCCTGACCCTTTCTCACCTTCTCCTCTGCAGTGCATGAGACACTCTAGAGTTCTTTCTTCACCTGGGCATTTTTCAAAGATGGGGCTGGGCACGGTGGCACACACTTGTAATCCCAGTGGCTCAGGAGGCTGAGGCAGGAGGATGGCAAGTTCAAAGCCAGCCTCAGCAACTGTGAGGTGCTAAGCAACTCAGTGAGACCCTGTCTCTAAATAAAATGCAAATTAGGGCTGGGGACAGGGATCAGTGGTCGAGTGCCCCTGAGTTCAATCCCCAGTACCCCCCCCAAAAAAAAAAAAAACAGACCCCGGGAATTCCAGGGGTGGAAGCCAGGGGGGTAGTTCTTTAAGAAGGTGTGGGACTACATTCAAGTACCCAGTGAACAGATGGCAAATTGTACAGAGAATGATAGTAAGAGGACCGAGTATGAGATCTAGAAGTGAAAAAGGAGGGGTGGAAGACAGAACTCTACTCGGCACAACAGAGAAGGTGAGGAAGGGCCGGGAGATGAGAAGAGCACTCAGCCGAGACATGCGGAGCACACCAGCAGTACACCAGGGCAGGGGCACTGGGCCAGGTGGGCAGGTGCAGCCTGGGTGGCTCTAGGGCTGAAAAACCAGCCTCTACCTCAGAGCAAAGCCTGTCCAAGGAAGGGACATCACCTTTGTCCTTGGAAAGACCCACAGAGCACTCCTAGGCACATTCCCA